TATACAGTAACTACATATACCGTTATTCTAATTGTAAATGTATTTAGCTAATATTTTTTATGAAACTCCGATCAGTTACAAAAAAAGATAATCGGATGGGTCTAAGCCATTTGGGCTAAGATATAATATTTTTAAAAACATTAATTAAAAATCTGCAGGAATTATTTATTTGCAATGACGATAACTTACAGCTATCATACAAATTAATTTTCAAACATAAAATTCTAGCTCATGAAAGCTTTAATTTAGCAGTAAGGCTTATAAATGTTGGCAGCAAAATTGTCTATTTTATCTCGAAAATTGGTGCTGAAAATCAACAAAAAAGTTTAAATATTTAACGATTTAGGCTATACGAAAATAAGTTTTTTCGATCAAAACACTTTTAGAATTATAGCGGGACGTAGAAAATTTCGTATTCAGCTTACTTATCAATATCAAAATATATTCCAGTGAAATTTGTTAAAATCGAAAAAATATTGTATGACTGTCATGCAACTGATTGTTCGAGAATAAGCGTTTTAGGTCAAAACTGTTGCGATTAAGCTGCTAGAAAAACAAAATTCGGTATGCTGCATTGATTAAAAGAATAAAATATTTTCTAGTAAAAATAAACAAATACGATTGAATAAAACATATAGCTACCATATAAATAACTGTTCAAAAATAAGTTTTTTGAATCAAAACACCTTCAAATATCTATCTAATCAAATGAAACTTCGTATTTAGCATACTTAACAGAGCCAACATATTTTTGAAGATTTTTTTTTTAATTAAACTAATATTCCAGGTAACAGCCATACAACTGTTTGTTCAAATATGGGTTTTTGAAAAGTTTATCTTCAAATTTGAAACTAAACGCTTGTATTAATATTATGTATGTGGTCGAGGTTTGCCGGCTATAAACCAATATCTCTCATACAACTAATTATACAAAACTCCGATTTTGAGTCATAACTGCTGCAAAGGAATAGCGATGAGTACGAACTCGGGTATGCTGTTTTGATTCTCAATGGAAAATATCGAAAATAATTAAATTCAAACTGTGTTAACGCATATCTCTCACAGACGAACTTGTCGGCAGTAAAAACCAGCTTAATCGTACAAAAACAAAATATAGCTGTTATATAAATGATCTTTCAAAAATGGGTTTTTGAGTCATAGTTGCTATAATTATGTAATTAAAAGGATGAACAATGAAAGATGATCAATTAAAATCATTTGTTATAAAGATTTCCAAAAAAAATAATAATAATTAAAAAATAATAAAAAAAATTTTAATAATTCTGAATTTCAATACATTGGTACCCAATTTTTGGTTTTCATACACAAATAATAAAATACAAAATTTGGCTTCCGTTCTTAAGATCGTTTTTTTAGAATACAACATTTTCTTTCTCTTTTGTCACACGCAGCATTGCTTTCCCAGCACTTGTCCCTATTTTTTAATTTTAAAATTTTCTTTTCTAAATTATTCGGCTACTTAAACTGTTTTCTTGCAACTGTGTTGCACCTTACATACATACATAAGTACAGATATTCCAATGTATTTATATACTCATATATATACACGTGTATTGTAGTAAATACTTATGCAACATTTGCACTTATGTATGTTTGTATGTATGTAAATGCAAATGTCGCACTGTCTAACTGTTGAACTGTTTATTTGACCAACTATTCGCCTAGTCTATCTATCACACACACTCTAACTACATAGCTGTGTGGAGGCTACCGACTAGTCATTTGGATGCTAATATACATTTGTACATATGTATATGTATGTAAATATGTGTAGAAGAAACATTTATTTACGAACAAGTACCATTTTATTGCATCTATTTATGTACATACATATTATATGTATGTATGTATATAGTACATATGCTTGTGGCACCTAAAAAGGGGTGGTAAAGATGGTATGAACATATATAAATTTATACATACTACATACATATGTACATATACAACGAGGTATATGTATGTATAAGCTAAAAAGCCGGCCGGCTGGATGGCTATCGTTTATATACATATTTACTTTTATGTATCTACGTGCACAAATGTATGTAACAGTAAATTTATTGATATAAAGATGTATACATAAATATATGTAAATATGTATATCAACATGTGCATAAGCATGTTGCTGTCATGTCTGGCTGGTCGGCTGACTCTGCTTGCCGCCTGCCTGCCTTTCTGCTTGTCTCCATTGTTTGTCTGTTGGTTTGTTTGTTTGTGTGCATGTTGACGCGTTTGTTGGCTGCTTGGAGTTCGTTGGCTGTACCTATTTTTCGTTTGGCCAGGACCTATCTCAACAAAATCGCGCAAACTCGTAAGCATATTTTACATACATATGTATGTACATATACATTCATAAATACATATGTATGTATGTATGTACATACAAGTATTTTATGTCCTACACAAATATAATACTACACATTTTTTACTTCCTTCCTTTTCCAAGCTGCTTCGTCAGTCTACTGCGCTGCTCTGCCACTGCTCATGCTGCCGCTAAGCGCGGCTGTTATGCAGCTTTTCTGCAAATTAGCTCGCTGTTTTGTTGTTTTTCTGTCGTCGTTTTGTTGCTTGTTCATTTGATTTATGTGTACGTGTCTTACACGCATTCTCCTTTGTTGTTGTATTTGTTGCATAATTATTTTCATGCTCTCATTTTGTCTTGATTTTTCTTATGTCGTTCATAATATTTGCAATTTTACTTTTGTTTCCTATTCAACGTATTTTCTGCTAAAATTTTAAAAACCTTTCCTCCTTCAGCTTTTGTTGTTGCTGTTTTATTTAGTTTTGTGTGTACCTACGACGTTTTATTTTAGTTGTTGTGTAAAACTCGCTTTACTCCATGTACATCTCTCTCTCTCTCTCTCTCGATTTGTATAAAAGGTTTAACTCTCAACTAGCGCTCTTCACAAGGCCTCCCTGTCTCTCTCTCTGTCTCTCTGTCTCTCTGTCTCTCTATCCATAGCTTAACTTCTCCTGCAGCATAGATAAAAACCGGAAATAAATTGCACAAATACAGTTTATATGTGGAAACTGCGTACATATATGTATGTACTCGTTATTATAGTTAAAATTCATGATTTTAGGGAAGGAGAAGAGGCTAAGCTTAACCTTAACAGTACAAATTCTAAGTGATTTACAATTAACTCAGCGTAGTGTTTTGTGGTTAAGAAGTGAATTATTCCTCACTCTCATTCTCTCACTTTCACAACACCTATTTTCTCAAATACCCACTATTTTTAATAAAAATAAATATCCAAAATTATTATCAATTTTTCTTTCTTAAACTGCGAGCCTGGCATAGTTCATAGCCAGCACCGGTTATTCCTTGTTCACACAGGCACTCAATTAGCAGTTTAGCAGTTTTCAATTTACGCGCTTTCATAGTGCTAGGAATGCTAGGAGTGCATTACATAGTGTCTTGGTAAAATTAAAAAATCCGTAAAATTGAGCTGGCTGGAGCATTTGATGGTGAAATTTATGAGCTCAGCAGTCCTACATAAAGCTTCAGTAGCACCTTAAGCTTCGAGTGTTAACTCGTACTCAAAAGTAGTGTGTCCATACTCTAAAGCTTAAGCAGGAAACAGATTCAGTAAAAATAATAAGAAGTTATGTACGAGCACAGAACTTTGACAAGACATGAATATCTCAATTTTTAATATAACCCAACTTTTATATCACTATAAAGTTTTGAGAAAGTTTTCGACTGCTCTCAGTGCCTTCAGGTCAAATCTTTACCTAATTTCCTTTCAAAAAAAAAAAAAAAACAGTATTATTGTTTGAATTGAAGTGGCATTAACGATTGAGAAGTTATTTCCTAGCTTGTTAGCTGGATAAGAGGTTGGCCGACTTAGTGCAGAGTAGCCGCAGAGCTACCGTAAATGCATTGGCCTACTCAAAAGCTCAAATGCTGCCGCTTACAGTCGAGTTCACAACCTCTTATCTAAACCATCAACCAAGCAATTACCAAAATAACTTAACTGCATTTATTACCAGACTAATGTACAAAAGTGCTTAAAATTAATATTTTTAGATGCACAGAAGAGGATTTTCTTACATATTCGTTTGCTGAAATCTCCAAAACAATCTAGCAGAATATACGTATTGAAAAATCTAGCTCTTCTTCATTATTGGTGTAGACACCGCTTACGCGATTGTTGTCGAGCTAACAACATTGCGTCATTATTCCTTCCATTCGCTGTTTGACGTCAATTAGAAATACCAAGCACAACCAAATCCTTCTATATCCTTTTTCTCTGCTTCACGCCGACCAATCACATGTTGCCTACGTCTATGCCCCCGTACCAAATAGCAAGGTGGTAAGGTCCTCAAGCCTCGTTTAGTAGAGCACGACTCGGCGAGGTCCGTTCCGATCCTGACGGAGCTTTTGGGGTTGCTGAACGTCAGTTTATGTAAAGCTTCTTCATGTAATGTGTATACTACATAAATATCAAAATGAAAAATTCAATGATCTTAATTTTATCCTGTCTAATAAAGAGGGAACAAAATTTTGAAAGCCACAGCAACATGTCGCTGTATTCTCTAGCGTAAAATAACTATATATTTATATTGAATTTAAAATCATAGAGCGCACGAATGAGTTTTAGATTTATGAGATAGGTTTAAATGTTTGTTAGACTGATTCCATATATATACTTACAAGTGAGGCATATAGTAGGCAGAGCAGTGTCCCAAAAAAAAAACTCAGTTTTTCTTTACGTGTCACATCTAATTTTAGTTAGGTATGAGACTTAGCTAAAATTAAATAACTAAGCCTAAGTGTAGGCAACGTTTTTACTTGCTTTGCAAAGAAACCATGGTCAAGTTTATTTAAACATATTTTTAATAACTATTAACATTAATAATTATATAACATTAATAATTATATCACTTTTAACATTTTATTAAGCCAGTAGAAACCGATAGCAGCAACCACTGATACAAATGGGCCAAAGCTGTAACCAAAGATGCACCCAATCGAAGTGTAGCCCATGTTTATTGGTGCAAATCCAACTCTATTTATGCCAAAATCAAAAACTGTTTGGTATTTCATAAGAAATAAATCGCCCAAAATCCAAAATGCTATATTAATATTTTGAAAATTCGAAGCACATAATTTTTTTGTGCTCGTGTTTGTGTCTGCATAATTTCTAATACATTAGCGCCTGGGCCTATGCTTACGGAATCTAATTCTAATGTCCACCACATTTCCTCAACGATAGGCACATAAGTTAGCCCATCGCTTGCAAAGTATTGTTCATCGATGCCGCCAAGCGTTAGCATGCCACCCTCTTTCGACGTACCATTGTCACTTAAATAGAAACCAAAGACGGGGACGTTAATTAAACCTTGCATATACATATTATAAAATGGTGGCGTAACATCACCAACAGCTAATTGCCTATAAGTCAAACCAAAGAAGCCATCAAAAAGATAATCGCTATAGGTCTGGTCCGGCTCTGAAGTAGCGACACCAAACACCTGACCACTAATCGGCAAACCGCCAACGGTAACGGTGTCTTCGACTAGATATCCCGAGCAGCTGCCGCTGCCATATTGTATTGACGCACTGGTATTGAAAGTATTGTGTACTAGACATGGTTGATCCGTAGGCGCGCACGATGTTTCCGTAATCAATCAATTGCTTTTCAGTGACGTTTTGTCCATTCAAATTATATTTACCACGCAACGCAAAAGCCTAAAACTCGATATTCTTCGGTGAACTTTCTTCGCAAGACCGAAAATAATACGAGAATTATGCACGGATACATTTTAAAGTACATATAATTTTGTAGACCGTTCTCAACACAGGCAAATGAAACTGTTCATTGTACCGTTACGTTTATATAGCAACGACTTTTATACGAACTCAAAACCCCAACCGAACATATTTAGAATCATATCTGTATAGTTACCGGGAAAAATGACTTAATGTATTACAATATTGTAAAGGATTGCGGAAGTTTGATGGCCGACTCACAGCTATTTCTTTTATCAGTCAGATTAGACACGATCGTTTTTAAAGCCACAGAGGAGTATGTATGTATAAGTTTAAAAATATAATGTCTATTCCGAAAAAAATTGTAATTTTAGTCAATACAAAATAAAATAAAATTTAATTAACCTAAATTAAAGTAAATTAAATTATATTAAACTAAATAAAAAAAAAATAAAAATATTTAAATAAAATAAGACAATAATTTAAAATAAAATAAAAAACAATAAAATAAATTGAAAAAGAAGAGAATTAAAATAAAACAAAAATATATTAATCAAATTAAAGATAAATAAAATAAAAATTAAATGACTTGAATTAAATTAAATTAAAATAAAATATTTTAAATATATAAAAATAAAATAAAGTAAAATAAAAAAAATTAAATAGAATAGTATGAAATATAAAATAGAATAAAATAAAATAAAATATATTTAAAAAAAAATAAAATGACATAAACTAAATTAAAATAAAATACGACACAATAAGTGAAAACAAAATATATTAAACTAATATTAAATAAAACAACATAAAATAAAATAAATTAAAATAAAATATATTAAAAAAATCAAATAAAAAAATATATTAAATATATTGAATAAAATAAAGTTCAATTAAATGAAATTAAAATAAATTGAACTCAATTAATATAAAATAAATTTTATAAAAAAAGTAGAATAAATTAAATTAGAGCTGGCAATTTCTATGTCCCAGATAAGGAAAGCGAAAAGATCGCCATAGAGTACCTCTGATGTAAAAAGAAAATAATGAGTTCTTTAGAACCAGACAATGTCTAGGCAAAAACCCAACTTCTTTCGAAATTTAGGAGATGACACGAGAAATCGGACAGTGAAAGGTGACAACGTTTTTTCTGATGTTTCGTATTGTGAAAGCGAATAGAAAGAGATACTCTAAGCATCGCAATTGGGCACTCCTCTCTCAACATGTTGTCTACTTCTGGACAGGTAAGTCTTAAACCGACGTAGAGAGCTTGGTTAGCGTGTCAAGATGTGCACTTAAGAGATCCTCTTCACTGTAAGTAAACAGAAGAAAGTTAAAGAAGCTTCCCTCTGTCTTTTGATTAAAATTCGCATAATTATTGAAACTCTTACCGGACTTTGTCGGAACTTATGCTGTAAGGGTTATGTATTTATCGGATGCCTTCTTAGGGAAAAGGAGATGGAGTCATACATATATGTGCTTTTTAATGAACTGAGCTGCGCTAACGAGACAAAGACTGAGAATTCTCGAACTTTCATCAACTCGAAGAGTTCACCGACAATACTGTTAAGCACATTCACCGCCTTGTGGCATACACTAAGTATGTACTTACCCCTGATGACATCAAGTTTAAGACAAGGCTGCAATTATTTATTATTTATCTTTATGCCATCCTCTAGGAATCAGCCAACTTCTTTCTAACCTAACCTAACTTAGATACCGTACCTCAACCAACATCGTATCCTACCATTACTCTTAGTCTCATACTCCATAAAGAAAGATCTTAATTACTTACCCAACTACTACTCAGTACCCACTCTACAAAACAATAATGTTAATTTATTTGCTCATTGGCACCTAATTTGCAAATGGAGCGTGAAAATGTTTACTCATACTAACCCACACACACACACACCCATAATCGTATGTAGATAGTGAAATCTACTCCTTAACTTACTATCAATATGTGAATATGAGTATAAAATGCAGTGAATAATGTGGCAAAGTATGATAAAAATATACACCCACACATACACATATATATGCATACAAACATATAAACATACAAACATACACGTACATATATAGATCAACTTTGTTATTGTTTTTGTAAGTTGTACCCACACATATTACATATTTGTTCATGGAAAATTAATTAAGGCAACGATAAGCCACAGTGCAGCGGCAGATTAGCTCCGTAGGCGAAATATGTAAATAGGAAAATAAAATCAAAATGGAGAAAAAACAATGCACATGCACGAAAATATAAATATGTATGACTATGATATATGTTTGTTCAAATTCTGTGCAGGAGCGAATGAGTGAGTGACCCTATGGTCTGCTCTAATTATCAGCGATTAAAGCTCCTCATCCCTTATGCGATTATAGCCAATTTTATACCATCTCTTATTTACGTTGTTCGGCATTAATTGAAAATACTAAGCAGAGACAGGTTATTCTCTACTTGGACATTCCAACGGTGTGCAGACCTTCTTTATCTTCTTCCATGGTGGGTATTGTAACTTTGAAAACTGAAGTATTCTTATCCATCCGGAACATATGACCTAGCCAGCGTAGCCGCTGCTTCTTGATTCGAACTATATCAATGTCACCGTATAACTCGTACAGCTCATCATTCCATTGGCTACGCTATTCGCCATTTCCAACTCGTAGAGGACCATGAATCTTACGTAAAACCTGACTCCTAGAGCCGTTTTATCAGATGTTGACGTCGTCCATGCTTCCGCACCATATAGCAGGACGGGAACGATAAGGGACTTGTAGAGTTTGGTTTTTGTTCGTCGGGAGTGGACTTTACCTTTCAATTGCCTACTCAGTTCAAAGTAGCACCTGTTAGTAAGAGTGATTTCAAAGCTGAAGGCTCACATTGTTTTTGGTGTTAATACTCGTTCCAAGATAAAGAAAGTTGCCAACGACTTCAAACTTTTGACTGTCAACAGTGACATGGGAGCCAAGTCGCGAATGCGATGACTATTTGTGTGATGACAGTACATATTTCGTCTTGCCCTCGTTCACTAATATTGCCCATATTCTTCGCTTACTTATCTGGTCTGTAGAAGGCAGATCTCACTGCGAGGTTGTTGAGGCCAATATCATCGACCTGTGCCAGCATTTGTTCTTCCTTATAGAAGATTATCCTTTCTCTATTCAGCTCTGCTGCTTTCATTGTTTTCTCCAGCAATGAGATGAAGAAAGTCACAGGATTCGTCCTGTCTGATACCTCATTTGGTATCAAACGGCTCGGTGAGATCCTTCACAATTCTGACGGAGCTTTGAGGTCCGTTTGCATAGCCGCTCAAGTTTTGCGAGTATACCAAAATCAGATATAGCGGCGGAAAGGCAGTTCCTTTTTGTTGCTGTTAATCATATCTTCACCGGACTTTTCCAAGATTTGGCGCATGGTGAGTATCTGCTCAATGGTTGAGTTCCTAGGTCTGAAGACACACTGATAAGGTCCTATCAGTTTGTTGAAGGTTGGCTTTAGTCTTTCACATAATACGCTCGACAGGGTCTTGTAGCCGATAATGCTTATTTCACGGTAATAATAAGTTTCAAGCGTCTGACATATTTTCTCAGCTCTTTACCGCCATGTTTGAATAGCTCTGTGGGCAGATCGTTAGTTCCAGCCGCTTTGTTGCGATTTAAACGGCATAGTCGGGCAGTGGAACATGTTTTCCGTCGCCACTGATTGCAATCTCTGGTTCACCATTTCCGGGTGCTTCATTTTCATTGCCATTCAGCCGACTGGAGAAATAGTCCTTTCATAAATTCAATGTAAACTGGGTATCGGTTAACAGATCACTGCTTGGTTTCCAACAACAGTCTGCTCCGATCTTGAGACTTTCTGTAAACCGCTGTAGCTTTTCATAGAGCTTTCAAGCATTACCCTTCCAGCCAGCCAGCTTTTCAATCTCTTCATACTCACGCATCTTGGCCTCTTGATTTGATTTGTCTTCACATGCACGACCAACATTAATATCAATAATAATGTTAACCTCGAAATTGAACGCAGAATCACTCTGGCCAAATGCATATAGCGTGTATTATGTCGACATCTGATGAATCGGCCTTGGAAGTCTTCGTGAGAAAAGTTTTGCAGAGAAAAAACGGTAGTTCTATTGTTGATTCGTCTATTATCACATAAACAAACTTAAACACTATTGAAATGTTTTGCTCGAAAATACTTAATAAAATCACAAATTTTCTATAATCGCCGAGCTTTAGCTCTCAGCTCATATTCTGTGAAATGTTGTTTTTTTTCAAAAGGACCTGTTAAACCGCTATTAATACCTTCCCATACAATAAAATTACTAATTACCTCATTAACTGATTAACCTGAGCAAGTACTACTTGAGAGCTTTTCACAAGGTATAAATAAAATTAATAATAAAAATATAGAGAAATACACTTAACATATAATAATACACAACAACAAGAATGTAGAAATGCATAAGCAAATAAAAAAAAACAAAAACCCAAGGAAGTTAAGACTCTCAAACGAACAACTCATAATAATGACCTTCCCCGTTATTAAAGAGGGTACAAGTGCACCTACATTGCCGTTAGATTGATGCAATATTATGACAGAAGCACACACAAATGCATACTATACTAGTATACAACTGCAGCAACAACAAATAACTAAATCCCTACCTGACAGGTACTACCCCCACCGAGAGTTGCATACCAGAACGCAGCCACGTAGCCACGCACACCATTGCGTATACGCAATATGCTTGTAAGCTTGCTGCCGAACGGTTACTACTTCACGCACATATGTACATGTACGTATGTAAAACGTTGCATGTATTTGCACCTAGACAATGTATTGGTGAGTCAAATATGCAAGTTGGTGTTGTTGGCTGCACATATGTACATACACACCTACATACAAAGAGGTACATTATGCGCCGGAAAACTATTAACGCTAACAAAAGCAACGGCCTTGTTGTTAGTGCTTATTTCATACGTAGAGTGTGCTCGCCGAACGCATTAGAGAGTTGAGTGGGAGAGAGCGAGGAAGAGAAAAAGAGT